CACATCCTGGCCCGAGCCCCCACCACATCCTAGGCTCGACTCAACCATAGCACAATATTATCCGCTTTAGGCCCCAACCATGCCCTCACGGTTTTGTTTCTGAGAACTCACGAGCAACTTCCTAGTGGGTCATCCATCCTGGAAATGCTCTCGCTGCAATCTCGCTTAACTTTGGAGTTCTTACGGAACCCGAAGCTATTGAGCTCCCAAAAAGCCTCTTGCTAGGAAGATATGAGAATATATATATAAGGCATAGAGGATCCACTCCCCTGGGCAATGTGGGATCTAACAATGTCACATCTCGGCCCCGGCCCCCACCATATCCGAGGCTTGACTCCGCCATAGCACGATATTGTCCGTTTTGGGCCCCAACCACGCCCTAATAGTTTTGTTTCTGGGAACTCACGAGCAACTTCCCAGTAGGTCACCCATATTGGGAATGCTCTCGATGCGATCTTGCTTAACTTCAGAGTTCCTATGGAACCCGAAGTCAGTGAGCTCCCAAAATGCCTCGTGCTAGGAAGAGATGAGAATATACATATAAGGCATAGAGGATCCACTCCCCTGTATGATGTGGGATCTAACATTTCGTAAAGAGGGTTATGGAAAATATGTGTATGGACTGGTGGTGCGTTGCGGTTCTCATGTGTGCTATGGAGTTAGTTGCCGGATTTGGGTGAATTGGTGGATAAGCAATTTGTAGAGTTGGTGGTGGTTTTGTTTGATTGAAAAATGAGGAAGGCTATTGAAAATGGAGCACTGAAGTAGGAAGGAAGAGGTGGAAGAAGAGAAGAAGAAAGAGAGAAACGAAAGATGCTTCTAGCATCTTCCCTAGAAAATCTGATAGCCACGCACGCGCAACACACATGACCAAGGGCAAAATGGCCAATTCACTGCACAATCCCACCAAATTTAGAAAACACTGAAGAAAATGAGGGGCAAATTCGTCCGCACACTATAGGTAAATAGTAACCCAAAACTAGGTTTTAGTATATATATATATATATATAATATGTTGGCTGCTAGGAAGCCATGCATGTATGTCCGTGTATATGTGTGTGTACATATATATATGTACGTGTGTGTATATACATTATATATGTTAGAGAGAGAGATTAGAAAAGAAAATAGAGTAATAAAGGCATTAGAAAGTGATCAAGGAGCTTGCTCAAGTACGTGGAACTTAACTATTTCATAGTGATGTGGATAAGTACGTGGAGCTTAGCTATTTTGGTAGTTCTGTGGATCTTGGTTTTAGCTTTGGAATCCAAGTAGGGGAAATAAGGCAAACCTTTACAGAAATTGATTTTATTAAATTTCGTGAAGTGATAATATTCTTGATCTTTTTGGTTGATTAATGTGATTGGATAATAATTAGCTAATTGCTTCAGTTAAGTGTTTACTTGTTCTTGGTTACAGAATTATTGCTGGAATGCTATTCGTTGAGAATATAATGTGATACATGTGAAAGATAAAATGACATTATTTGTGCATCATTCATGTTGATGTGGTTGTAATTTTAGTACTTAGATTGGAAGTATGGAAATGAGGGTAGTTGGAAAGGATCTTTTGTGTAGTTGAATCTATTCATTGTGAAACCAGTTCCAGGCAAGTCCGATGTACACATTAGAATAGGATCAATGGGAATTGTCGATGTGGGTGATTTGGGCTGGAGATCAATGCATTAGATAAGATGATTAGCAAAAGGGGTTTACGAACTTGGGATATCATATGGGGGTTAGTTTCTATAATAGAACATTTGAATCACCTCTGCAGGGGTAAAATGAATGGTGTGGGACGTGCATGTTTATGAACAAGGGTAGCCGAAGAGGTTGCATTGCATTCATGCATTATTATCAATAATGATTTGATATTTGGCTATATGATTTCATGACACTTAATTTAATATTATCAATTACTGTGATAAGGTTATGTCTCTATTGAGCTGTTGAAACTCACCTCTCTATTGTTATGCAGGTTTAAAAACTAAACAGTTAAAAAGGATAAACGGGATGAGATCGGATTAAGTGTGAGGATAGAATTTTGTATTTATTTAATTTTGTCTTGTAAAGAATTATCGATTTCTGGTTATAAGAGGAATTTCATATTTTCCACCCAGTTTCACTTTCCTTTTATTTAATTTTATTTTTAGCTTGCGCGTCGGATTCGGGTTCGAAATTTTTCCTATTGACCTCGGGTCTGTGGCGTGACAATTACATACTAGTATTATAATATTTTTGGGACAGTTAGGGGTTACACTTTTCGAAAAGGTTTTACAAAAAATTATTTTCAGGCCCACTCACCCTTATTTTTCACGCCCTTCCCCAATGATTTAGTGGCAGAGGTTTTGTGACAACAAGGATGGTTGGTAAAAGTTGTTATATAGGAGACTTCTCCCTTCGGTATAAATGTCCTTACTTTTCTTTTACTGCAATTTATCTATGCTCTGACATCACTTGTGTGATATAAGTTCGATTTCGCTCACATGCGCACTCTAAATTAGTCACTTTTAGGTTTTAATTTATTCACATTTTCCATATCACTACACTTGATGGCTTTGTTACCTTTCAGGTGTTGGACAACACATTGCGATTCGGGTGTCTAGGTGGACATTTCGGGTTGGGATGTGTCAATAATCTTTTTGACAAACTTCGTTAAAATTTTCGTCCAAAATAAAGAGTTTAAAGGAAAAAAAAATGAATGAGAGTTGATTGAATGCTAACAGGGCCGAAATATAATCAGTACAAATTATGTCGATTAGGGCACTTCCAGTGTGTAAAGGCACCCCTTGGCAATTGACAATTAAATCCCCTCAAGTGAATAGTAACTCCCTTCAATGAATAGTAATTACCTTTTGCATCTCCATTCCTAAATTGAATAGCTATGACAATAGACAGTAAAATATCAGTATTTTTTATTTTATAAAATAATAAAAAATAATTTTATTTTTAATTTCAGATATGATTTTTAACCGATCTCGTCTGGTCACGTGTCATTATCTAAAAATACAATTTTTGTCAGTAAATTTCGATAAGATTTTTAACTAATTATGTTGCGCAATATGTCCTTCCATGTTCTGAATCGTTGAAAATATTGAAATGTGGTGTAAGGTGAGAGAAAATGGTAAGGTATTTAAAGAATTTTTTTTTATAATGTGGCTGACATCAGCCTTGCATCACTCTCCCTTAGACGCTTGGGCCTTGGACTTGCGCCTGAGCTCTCCCACCTCAACCTAATTGCTCGAATGAGCTAACGCCACTTTGACATGGGATTGAATTGCAAATGGAGCCAGTACACATGACAAAAGAGTACGTTGAAAGTGCTCTTAGATCATCTCTAAATTTTTATAAATTGGAATAGGATTTTCTCCCTTCTATTTTTCTCTCCCCTTCCCTCCACTCCTATTTGAACGGTTACGGTTAAGTTATGTCAATATTTTATATTAATTTTTTTATAAAAAGAGAAAGACAAAATAAAGAATGTGAAAGGAATGGATAGAATAGAAAGAAGAAGAGAGAGAATTCTACTCCTTATAAATTACGAGGAATAGGTTTGATTCCACTGGTCCCAATCAGGTTGACTTCGTTGGCAGGAAGTTGTTAGCCAGTCATGTCGCATGATACTTCCAAAAGAAACTCACATGCATAGCTTGGTACTTTCCTTCGGCCTTCATCTCAAATGGAGGACATGGTCCCCTTCAGATTCATTGGTCCTAATCTACTAAATTTCATGATCTGAATCATTAAAAGTTAATTCAACGGCTATAAAAATAGGTTTATTTTAAAAGTTATAATAACTTTAACCATTTGATCAAATTTCAATAGTCCAGATCACGAGATTTGATGGATTAGGACTAGCGAATCCGAAGGAGATGCATGTCTTCCATTTGAGATGAAGGCCGAAGGCAAGTACCAAGCTATGCATGTGAGTTTCTATTGGAAGTATCATGCAACTTGACTGACCTGTAGATCATATGGTACAAGAAAATAGTAGTCACTCACAGTTTAGTTCTAATCTCACCAACCCTGACGTAGCTGCTCATGAACCTGCAAAACTCACTCTCTGTCTCTCTCACAACACCGTCTCCTCCATCTTTCCTTCTCCCAATTGATTTATTTTTTTTTTTGTTAAATATTTTTTATTTAATTGTGTGATTAGTTAATTTTGATTGTTGTAGGTTGTGATTGGATTGGAAGAAAATACTACCTATTTGGCAGAAGCAAAAAAAAATTGGATACCACAACTCAAAAATGGCAACAAAAAAAATATTATTAGGTAATGAGAAAAAAATTTCAACCTATAGGTGGACAGCAGCTGGTCTAAGATTAACAAAGTTGTAACATTCACCTAATAAACATGAGAGAGTAAAATAGACATAAAAAGAAATTAAAAACTGTGCCATAATAAATATAGCGCTAACAATGGGAAATTTGCAATATAGTCAAAAAAGTTTATCCGGAAGATGCAAACAAAATTTGATTTTCTATAAATTCCTTCTCGCTTAAAAAAAAAAAAGTCTATATGAACATAATTTTTTACCAATCTAAGTTCAAATAATTGAGACCCTCCCATATAATTATCAGCGGCAACAATTAATTGAATTAATTAAGAGTTTGTGCAGGCCTCTACGTTGACCATTTTGGACGGGGACATTATGTCTACTAATTAATAAAATATTCATTGTGAACCAAAATTTTATGAAATTATCAGTTTAACCCTTTAATTAAAATAGAACATGAATCAGAAATATGGGTAGAAATATAATTTCATATAACCAAATTCTGTTTGTTTTTTTCAAAGGCTCACATACATATAATCATAACATATTTCTAATTAAAAAAATAAAAAAATAAAAGAAAAACTTCCCACTTCCACATTCTCTATCACTCTCCTTCTATTTAAAAAACAAAAATAAAAAATTTTCTCACACACTTTGTATGTGCCCATATGCTAGTTGAATTAAATAGAAGAATCACATTATTTCGTCATTTTTTTTGACAAATTTATCAATTCAAAAGTTGATTCTGTGTGAAACCTCTTGCTACCCCCCTGTTCTTCTACATATTATGTCTACTGTTTCGACACTTTGAAATTAAAACATCGGATTTTCCTAACAGCTTAATACACTTGTTTTTTAATGACAGTTTAAGTCAGTCTCATAGTTGCCTTCCTAAACAAAACCTCCATAGAATGTCCTCATTTTTTCTTCACCATTAACCGTAAAATTTTCGTATGCATCAATACTACATGGTTGATCGGCTATAAGGTTATATAGGTTGATTAGTTCATAATCTCATTATTTTGTTAATTCTTTTTTGAGTTAATTTCAGTTTATTACTTTAAAGTTTTTTTATTTTCAACATTTAGTATATGAAGTTTTTATCATCTCAAAGTGGTATCCGAAATTATAATATTGGGATAGTCTCATACATCCGTTAACGTTACTGTTAAGTGAACCGTTAAGTGTGATGTGATGCTTATGTGAATAATGACCGAGTTCCATGTGTTAATATAATCAACATAAATATTTAAAAAATTAAGAAAATAAAAAATAAAAAATAAAACAAAATTTCTTGTTTTACCCTTCGATCTCCACCATCAGGACCTCAGCATGGATTTTGGACAGGATGAGCTTTACGATGGCTAGGTCGCAAGAGCCTTCTTCGGCGCGACGATGTTGGCGGGGAATGAGCCGAAAACGGTGGCTGGGGTGGGAGGTGATGGAGATGATGGACCATGAAGCGCCTCTCAGATCTAAAACCGCTCAGCAGCAGAGGCTTGCTGCTGCTTCTCAGCTCATGGCAGCGTCAGTGAATTCCTTCCCTTACTCCTCCAAGTGCATGAACTTCGTACTTCAGCAGCAACAAACTGATTCGCAAAGGTACATGATTTACTGAAGTTCTTATTTTTTTGGAAATTAATTAAAGCTCTTATCTTTAATCATTTGTGTTGAATAATTATTAAGTTGAACATTTTTGTTCTCTGTATTTGTAGGGCAGCGGCAGCTGCCTTGATGATGGGTGATGATATGCACAAGTTCAGCCGATCCCGCCTCGAAAGATCCGATTTTTCGATGGAGGGGAAGGGGGAGCGGGAGGAGAAGGGGAAGGGTTTGGCTCGGAAAAATGGGGAAAATTGGAACTGGAAAATGGGTACTTTGAGGGTGTTGGGTTCGAAGGAGGGGAAGGTAGGGATGGAGATGGTGGTTGAATTGTCGGCGGCGAAGAAGATTCCTGCGGCAGAAATGGCCGATCTGGGCGAAGAAGAAGATGACGACGTGGGTTGATTCGAATTGGGAAAGTGGGTTTTGGTCTGAATGTTGAAAACAGGGGTGAAGTAGGTAATGAGGGAGAAGATGTCGAGCAGCTTAAGCCACTGGTGCATCTGCTCGGTTCCTTCGCGGATGGAGTTGTAGACATCTAGGGCTTTGACGCTGCGCCCGAAGTAGTCGGAGATGTAGCGGTCAACGGTGGGTTTGGAGATGTGGGTTTTGGTGGAGGAGAGGATGAGAGTTTTAACCTCCTGGTGTATGAGGAGGAAGGAGTCGAGGAGGTCGTGGGACGAGGAGAGGTGGAGGAAGCAATCGGCCATGGCTTTGGAAAGAAGAAAATCTGTTTTAATTTTTAATTTTTTTAGTTTTTTAATTTTATTAATATTTTTAATTTTTAATCTTCATGTCGCCCATATTAACGGTCATTATCTACGTGAGCTCCACATCACCATTTAACAGCAATTTTAACAAATGTATGAAATTATTCTAAAATTACAAGTATTACTCTGAGATGAAAAAATTTCTTGTATTAAATATTAAAAACTAAAAACTTTTAGGACAGTAAACTGAAATTAACCATTATTGTTTTGTTAAACCTAATTCTTTCCCTTGAAGTCAACAAGTCAACAATCCCAAATCCTCCAAGTCCATCTCGATTATGGAGCCGTATCAACCACACCAAAGACCTTTAGAATCCTATATAAAGTGCTACCAGCTTCAAACCTTCTCTCTCTCATACCTCTCTCGATTTTCCTTCATTCACTTACGACTGCTTTTGATTGAAGTAAGATCCTCCACTCATCTGTTTTGTGCTTTTAAACTTTCGTCCAACTATTTTTTTTTTGTTATATGAAGTAGCGTTTCGAACCCTGAATTTGCCGTCTACTTTTTCTTGCGTTTCGTAGTACGTGGTTTTTCTGCGATGAGCAAACTTCGACAGCATGGTCCTTTTGCATTCTTTTGCCTCCTCTTCATACTCCCCACCTTAGTTTTCGGAGACTGCACCTGTGAAAAAGAAGAAGAAGATGGGGACCGGAACAGAACCGAAGCTCTAAAGTACAAAATCGGGGCGATTGCATCCATCCTAATCGCCGGTGCACTCGGTGTTGGTATTCCAATTCTTGGGAAGACCATTCCGGCTTTACATCCCGATAGGAACATATTCTTCATCATCAAGGCCTTTGCAGCCGGGGTCATATTGGCTACTGGGTTCATCCACGTCCTCCCGGATGCTTTTGAGAACTTGACGGACCCGGTTCTTAAGGAGAACCCATGGGGGAAATTTCCCTTCACTGGGTTTGTGGCCATGATGGCTGCCATTGGGACTTTGATGGTGGATTCTTATGCCACTTCTTATTACAGCAATTCTCACTTCGAGAACAATATTAATCGAGACGAAGAGAAGGCTCAAGAGCATGGGGGTCACGTGCATGTTCATACTCATTCAACTCACGGCCATGCGCATGGAGCAGTTGACACTTCGCCCTCAACAGAACTTCTTAGGCACAGAGTGATTTCACAGGTAATTTTCTTTTTGAATAGTTTTCTTTTTTGTGATTAGTGGTGAATTAAATCGTTAATTATCTTTTATTTTTGTGGCAGGTTTTGGAGTTGGGGATTATTGTGCATTCTGTGATTATAGGAATTTCGTTAGGTGCTTCTGAAAGTCCAAAAACAATAAAGCCTCTTGTAGCTGCGTTGTCTTTCCATCAATTTTTTGAAGGCATGGGACTCGGTGGATGCATAACTCAGGTAATTTTTTGCCTCTAATTATTGATGTCAATACGATGGTAGCCAAGTTGTTTAGAGCAAAAAAACACTGGATGTTGATCGGATATTATTTTTCTAATGTTCTTTGTAGGCGATGTTCGAGAATCGAGCTGTTGCAATCATGTCATTGTTCTTCTCTCTTACAACTCCTGTTGGGATTGGCATCGGAATTGGAATATCAAATGTTTATGACGAAAGCAGCCCGACTGCACTCATCGTGGAAGGCGTTTTCAACGCGGCATCAGCCGGTATTTTAATCTACATGGCCCTTGTTGATCTGCTAGCAGCTGATTTCATGAACCAAAAAATGCAGAGCGACGGAAGGCTTCAAGCAGGGGCAAACATATCTCTTCTTGTTGGAGCTGGTTGCATGTCTTTGTTGGCCAAATGGGCTTAATTAAACACCTTAGTCAATCAAAAGATATTGTCTATAATTTTTGTTTACTTTCATAAAGTTTTTTTTGTTATGCAGTCAACTTTTAATCTGAACCGTTAATCTAGTGGATCCCTCGACTACGCATATATGGATCAATGTTATCGTCCACTTATCTTTTTGTTTCTACCTTGAAATTATGATAGACTGAAAATTCAAAGCAAGCTCCTTTTACTATGAAAAAAATTGGTCCCCTTATTTTACAAAGTGAAGGAAAAGTCAGCAGAAATCTAGGAGCGATTATCCACCATATTTTTTTCTATGTTGAAATTATGATTGGCGTAAAATGCAAAGCAAGTTCCATTTATTATGAAAAAAAATTGGAAATGGTTACTCTCCGGATCCCTTTCCACTTTAATCCTCATAATCCAGGATCCGAACTGTTCAAATTTCATTTAACGGCTACAAATAAAGGGACATTTATAAAGTGATAATAATTGTGGCCGTTGAATGAAATTTGAACGGTCCGGATCCCGGATTAGGTGGAAAAGGATCTGGAGAGGATCCCTTTCCAAAAAAAAATTGGTCCCCTTATTTGGAAAAGAATCCTTACCAGATCCTTTTCCTAGAGATCCAACAATCGTGTTCGTTTATCGTACATCGTGCGGTCAGTTTTTGTTAAATACTATTTACATTTAATTTTATGTTTTAAATTTTAAATAATTTATGACCACACGATGTACGATGAACAGACACGATTACGAGATTTCTAGGTCTCTAAAAAAAGGATCCGGTGAGGATCCTTTCCCCCCTTATTTTGGATCCATTTCTCCCTTATTTTCCAAAGTGAAGGAAAAGCTAGTAGAAATCTAGGAGCGATTGAAAATCTACGAAGGAAAATCCAACTAGTAAAAAACAAAAACTTTAATAAAATATTATAAATTCTCGAAGAGGAAATGACATGCGAATGTGAGTGACATGGTCATTTTTGGCGGAACTCGTATTTCCACTTTCAAAACTCCAAACGTACGAAATTGGTGTTGACTCATAAAACACCTTTGTAGATGTAAATTTTTACCGTCTTATTTTTTGAGGAAAATACATCTGTAAAATAATAACATCTAAAATTAAGTTCAAAAGCCTAACGTGCCCACAATGAATGGGAGGATTTTGGCGGAGGAATTTCTGATGCCAAAATTAGAATTCTGAAAATAATGTGTTTAGGAGTTTATGGTAGCAAATGACTTAGCTTTTTAATAGGAGAATATGGCTATTTATAAGGGAGTGGTAGGCCCTATTTAAAGAATAGGGGCCGGCCATATATTGTAAAATTGTGAGTATAATTGCAATATATTATATGAAATAGTATCTTGCAATTAACTTCGCAATTAATCCTAAATTGAATAGGAAAATTGAGTTATGTTTTAAATAAGGATTTGATGAGGAGTGATGAGAGAGATTTAAATAAATACCATTTTGATCACATTTGACTCTTCATTGATTGAGTCGTTATTGTCCAGTGCATGCACGTGGGAATCTCGATGTGCCTCAAGGGTAATTTTGTAATTTTAGCCCAAAAGTCCATGAATCACCTCTATAATTTTCTTGATTATTTTTTGCTCCACAAATGCCCCCACACCTATTGGGTTGGTCGTAGGAAAGGGCAGCATGTGTAGAGATTTTCCCTTACTTTAGGAAATGTATGATCGTTTCCTACTTCGATGTAGATTCCCACATTAATTGGAAATTAGATCCTTTTAGGAAATGGAAATAAATTACTTCCAAAGTCTATTTAAGTCTACCTTAGGTAGATGATTAAATTAACTTTAGAGAGCAATTTATTCTATCCTATAAGAGAGAGAAAGCTAGATGATATTTGTTCCCCCTTCCCTAGCAATCTTCTACATTTACTTATGCAAAGGATCGTCTTTTGTTGCTTTCTTCGTAAATTAATTTTTCCTTGTCTTCGTAATTTTTTTGGAGCCTCGATGCTTGAAATTTGGCTCGACAGGGGTCGAGGATGTGTGAAAAGATGGATTGGAAAGGCCACGACAATGTTGCAGTGGGTGGCTTGGTGCGACGGTGGCTCAGCGTGGGTCGACGTCTGGGTGCAGCGGCGTGGGTTGCGGAGGCGAGCTGGGACTTGGCTTGGGTCAGGAGCTTCTAGGATTGGGTCAAGATTATGAGGCACTGGGCTTAGGCCCTTGCGGGAGAGATGAGAGAGAGGGAGGCGTGGGAGCGCCAACCCCCTCCTTTTGGATTGGGTCGTGAGGCATTTGGTTCGAGAGAATGGCAGCACCTAGCGTGCTAGGTTGCCTGGTGTGCTGGGCCTCCTAGTATGCTAGGTTGCATGGCGTGCTGGGTTGATAGGGATAGCTGAGAGCTAATACGGGCTGGGCTTCCTTGGCTGCTGTCTTTAGGTCACGGGGCCTGATGTTTTTTTTTAAAAGTTTTTGCAACCATCTAATGATTCTTCCTTGTATCTTTGTAGAATTTCTTCGAGTATGTCTTCTTCAAGCCACAAGAGTGATGATGGTGTGCCGCTGTTGTATTGCCAAGGCGGGTCTTTGAGTAAAGTGGGCTACCTCAAGGCTACATACTTCAAAATTAGCTTTGATGACTCGTTCAGAGATTTCCTTGAAGGATATAGGCACGCTATTCCGTTTGGGCTGCGTGTGAAGCGGGTCAAGGAGGGTAGCAGTCGTGAGCCATGCAGTAGGCTCGGAGGGCCATCAAGTTTCACCTTTACTACTTCGTGTTGGGATTTAATTTTCCTATGCCGCATTTCTTCCAAGAAGTGCTTTGCTTTATGAAGTGTACACCTCTCTCAATGTTGTCCAAATGCGGTCCGTGTGATGGTAGGGTTCCTCAATCTAAGCCAATTATTTGACTTGGATCTAATTGTTAACAAATTTTGGTACTTCTTTAACATAAGCCATATTGATGGAGTTAGGCAGCTGCGATCCCGCCAGTGGCTCTTCGATCATTTGAGCAAGGGACATCATGATTGGGCCAAGACAACTTTGGAGATAAGTGGATAATGAGAGTCTGATTCTTCCCTTAATTTGCGCATTCCGATGATTTTCATCACTATTAAGTAGACTGCTTAGTCTCTACGCTGCTTTGTGGTTTTGCTGAGCGGTTATCTGATTTGTTGGTTGTCCTCCTCTGTTTACGTAGATTCGGAATTGGGCTCAACTACCAAGACTTTTCCAGATCTGAAGAGGAAGGTTCATGTTGCTTAGGTATCCCCCCCACTGAGTACTATGAATAGTTTGGCTGCTTAGTTTTATTCTCTAGGAGAAATGTGGGCTTTCCCCAAGAAAGGAGATAAAGCGGATTAAGACGGAGACGTTGACTCGTCCGATCACTGTTGTGGAGCCTGCTGTGAATGAAGGTGGAAAGAAAAGATCTTCCCCACCTACTTAAGAGATGTCAATTGAGAAAAAACCGAAGAGTTCATTTGCTACTCCTAAGGGTTAACCTGCTGTCGATAGGCTTGTGATTGACTTGACTTCTTCCAAGGGGAAGAAAGAAAAGGCTGCTAGATCAGAGTTGGTGATGCTTGCCATGCCAAAGGTAGCTAGTACAATTGTTGATAGGATTGCTCAGCGTAGAGGTTTTGTCATCCCCTAGTGCTGAAATTCGTGCCAAGACGTTCGTTAAGAGCTAGGTTTGGTTCACATTTGGAAAGGCTTGCTACAATGAAGAGTAATAAGATGGACTCTGCTGCTAAAATGGCACCAAGGCAAACTCTCCTTGTGGCTGACACTGGTTTTCTTACTGAGAATGAGAAGATTACTCATGTGGGTAGTTGTGAGAAATCCACCAAGCCTGTTTCTGGAGAGGCTGTTGAGATCTATACACTTTTGAAGCCAAATTTGCTCGAAGACATGGACACGTGTGCCAAACTTATTGATGACGTTAGAGGGGTTGTTTGCCCAAGTTTTTTTGCGAAGCATACAACCCAGTATAGAATGACTGCTATGTTAGCTATGATATAAAAACGACGATTCTGGCAGCTGAGTCTATGCTCATTGATCAAGAGGATAGCAAGGCTGCCAAGAAGGTGACAAAGACTATGATAGATGAAGCTTATTCTTATGCCGAGAAAATCAAGAGGTTGGAGTCTGAGCTCGTCGTTTTGAATGAATCCAATATCTCTACCCCCACTTCTCTACAACTTGAGTCTGCTCGCCAAAAGATCGTTGCCTTGAAGACTAGGCTTGACGCGATCCAAGTTAAGTATGAAAGTGCAGAGAAAGAGATTGGATGTTACATACATTATATTTAAGATTTTGAGCGTGCCATTTTTGAGCTTCGGTTTACTGCTTACGCAAAGGATAAAGAATTGATTGATGCTTATAATCAAGTAATCTAATTCAAAAAGGTCATCGATAGGCTTACACCTCAAGTGTTAGAACTCTAAGGTGTACTAAAGATCAACAAAAATCTGAAGAAGGAAGTGGATGAGCTACAACGCATTCGTGTGGGTCTACTCGAGGAGAACAAGTAGCTGAAGAGTGGGAAAGCTGGGCTCAAGGCCTCGCTTGTTCAGAGTCAGGCCGATTTTTATAAGCTGGTTTATGTTGATCATCTATTTGGTAGGCCGTCTGACTTTGAGTTTGTTGGGAAAGACTTCGAGACCTTATCTATTTCTCTAGAATACTTGCTTGCCTTTACTTTTGAGGGTTCCATTGGTGAAGTAGTCAGAAAAGTTGGTGCCCAGGTTAGGGTAGTCGGGGGTGAAGCGCTGAATGATGTCGTTGTTGAGAGTGTCATGGCTGCTGAAGGTGTGGCAGTCGAGTAGCCGTGGGATGTCCAAGCTACTGAAGGGTAGTATTCTAGGTAGCCTTTAGGATTTTCTTTATTTTCCTTGTTGCCTTTTTGCTTTGCTTTGCTTGAACTCCTTCCACCTTTGCTATTTGTTTATCAATTTTTCTAGAAAATTTAATAAACTTGCTTTCTTCGCTTTTCTTCATCTTCGTTTCTTTTGTTTACGCCCAACCTTTGACCTTTAGACCAGCAGTATGCGTGTTGCTTTTCTATAAGCAAACAAGCCCGCATAGCCTATGCAGTCGTAGGTGTTGGTGTAGAACTTTTGCAAAGTTGTTAGCCATAGGGTTGGTAGCAAGATGCTTTACTTATAGAAGCAGACGAGTCCTCGTGACCATTTGGCTGTTAACCTTGGCTTTCTTCAATCTTTTGAGCTGTGTGGCCCATA